TTACCTATGGTATGTACCGCATCGCCGAAGTTAGTGTTCGCACATTTATTAATACCATAAAGCGCACTAAACACTTGGTGGCAACTTGGCCGGACTTCCGAGACAACACTAGGAGGATTCTGGAAGCAAAACTCGGGCATTATTTTCAAGAAGAAATACTCTACTTTTGATACGTAGCCATGTATTTACCAAACTACGCACTGTACGGGACTAGACTTGATTGAAATTTGTGACTGGGTTTGGCGGTGCTTTCCAATACAAACATCAAGTATAAAGGATTTGTATTGACCCGGAAAAAAATCGATCGAGTTTTCTGGTACATGTTGCTGAACTGAGCAAGCCCAGCATCGCTACCATGTTGAATAGACGCCAATGAAGACACTAGTCAGCTGACAGCCTCAACTTACGAGTATAGACCTCTCCACACTGTCAAATACCACTCTTCTATACAAATTCAAGATAGTGCGTGTCTCCATTGAATCTTATCAACCGCGTCAGCTTAACCTTATTTGAGCAGCTTACTACAGTGAAGTGCGTCGATAAGGAACGGGCGACATTTTATATTCTACGACAAGACATGAATCCTCGCTTGTACCCATTGTGTGCCAATTGTACTGAATTAGTTATATGATTCTACCAATCATTCGGTCCCGTTTAACATTCCGCCAATCACAGTTCCGAAACCGAGCCTCAAGAGCGGCTGGATGGAGCGGCTCCCAAGTCGGGGGAAATGGAACCTAAAGGTCGCGAGAGGGAATCATGAGCATGAGGATCGCTGTGAGCGCGGGAATCGCGCCAGGTACATGTCTGCATGCCTCATTAACCAACTTTCGCTCTGCTGCTCACAACTCCCATGGTGACCGCCACTTCCAGACCGTTCCAGAGGTGGCTACGTCTGACCAAGCTTCAGTCGCTGCTAATCTGTCATCGCCGTCGTGATCTACCGGGTGCTACCTATGCTGAGTTGGCTGCGTGGGCTCAAGCCGAGACTCTGGTCGCGAAGTCCGACATGAACTACATAGTGCAGTAAATCAGTGCATTTGCTGTCTGCATGTGACGAGTCAAACCTTTAATTATCAATATACCTTTTTCTTTCAATGTATATCAGGCGTTCCTTATCGACGCACTTTACTGTACCGGTAGGCGTTATTCGAGCTGTTCAATGGAGTTAGTTCATTTATTACGCTTGGAACAGCTCTCCACGAGTTTGTTACCAATCTTACCGATAGCTTACCGGGTGCGGCTATAATTTTGACCCGACCCAAAGTCGGTTTTTCGTCCATTGCAAAAAAACGGTTACAGCTTTTTCGATTCTGATTGTTGCATCTGTTTTCTATCGATTTTAGACGAATCATAAGCAGCGGTTTGGCGCCGAAAGCACAATCATTGGTTTAAAAAAATAATTTTTGGGGTGCGGTTATAATTTCGGCGCGCACTGTATATCACGTAGATGCGGTACCGTGTTTCTGGTACAAAACTGAGGGAAGAAAAATCCAACCGGCCATTTCCACATTTCCCCTCCAAGCCTTGTCCTGTAGCGCCACTGCTGTGCTGCTGCAGATGGACATGTCCAGCCAGTTGGATCCCCAGGCTTTGGCCGCGTTCGTGGACGACAGTGTCTTTGCTCAGATGAGCGG